CGTTGCCTTTCGTAGGCCGCAGGTGCAGATCGGGGCGCGCTGCGCGCCTTGCTGCGCGAGGAGAGAATAATTATCAAAATGCCAGGGTCCACGTGGCGTCGCCTTCGGCGCACCTCGCACGCGTTTCTTGACCCTCTTGGGAGCTCCAGCAATGGCCCAAATGCAAGGGTCCGCATGGCGTCGCCGCTTACTTTCGGCACAGTCCTCACGCGCTTCGTGGCCCCATGGGGAGCTACAGCTAAGGCACACAAGCCAGGGTCCGCATGGCGTCGCCGCTTCATGTCGACACACACACATACACCTCACACGTCTCGCGGCCAATAAGGAGCAAGGGCTATGACCCCAGCGGCCGGGTCTGCACGGCGGCGCCGCACCGATCTAGTCACCATAAATGCACGCATCGTGGCCCCCACACGGACCCCCACCGAAGGCCCAAACGCCCGCGTCCGCATGGCATGGCATCGGTATCGAATTTTGGCACACCCCTCACACATGTCGTGGCCCCATGAGCCATAGGGAGTTCTACCAACGGCGCCAATGTCAACGCCTCTATGGCGGCACCCCCCCACCTCGGCACACCACCACACGCGTCTTGGCCTCGTATAGACTTCCCGTTTCTTCGTTCCGTGTGCCTCGCACTACTCACGCCTGCACATGTTTTGTCCGTGTGCAAGATCTGTTCTGTCAATGTTCATTACCCCCCGTCCGCGCACATGGCGCGGATTTCTTGGATTGGCGCTGGAAACGTTTCTTGGGCGGGCCAGCGCCGATCCAAAAAACTTTCGCGATTCTCCCGCAGTTTGGGTTCATGCAAGTTTTTTGGCATTTGTGTACAACGCAGGCTGCAAGGAGGGCGGTATTGGTAGCTATCAGAGCACGTGAGCAGCGAGACCGCCGCGTGGACGCGCGCGGCGATGTGCTTCGGAAACGACCGCCGCGCGAACGGCCAGATATCGGAGGCCGGCAGTCATCACGGCACGCCCGCGCCGACCTCGACATCCAATGTCTTGAGAAAATTAGCAAGGAGGCTTTCGTTGAGTTCGGAACGAAAGCCGGCTTTGGGGAAGTGCTTGGGACTTCCAGGGGCCCAGGGTAGAAACAATCCAGGAATTCCGCGCCTGGGGTAGGAACGGGTGTCCGCGAATCGGCTCGCGCAGCCGGTTTGCCCAGCATTTCCCGGCGCCAGGAGCGAGTATCGAGTAAAGGGCCCAGCGGCGGGGCCCAGGGGCTCAGGGAGCGCCCCAGGAGTCCAGAGGCGGCGGAGAGCCTCCAAGACCCAGTTTCCCCATTGCTGGCCGACTTCGTGGATTATAGCGTCTCCCATCGAGCTTTCAGACGCCATCAGCAACGGGTCTCTTTGCATATTATGACATTCCCGCGGGTTTCCCAATCTTCTTGTTTTACTAGTTTCGGGATGCCAGGGCCCCTTGCCCCTGGTTCAGGGCCTTCCAGGGAGCCCCAGATCGTTCGGAACGGCTGCCGTGGGCCCGAGCCATGGCCAGAAAGCCAAGATACATCGAGGACGTGGGCGTCCGAACGGCTTTGGTCCTTTTGGGGGGCGTCCTGGAGGTTTCGGGAGATTTCCATGGGAGAAGGGGTGGGTCGGAGGAGGACAACTGGACATGTCCACCCCGCTGTTCCTACCGCCTCCCCCCTCCTTGGAAGAGAAGGGGGGAGGCAGGAGGAGTTGCACCCTTGCAGCTCCTGAGGATCCCCGAGATAGAGGAGTGAGGATATGATATGGTTCCCTTTTGTTTTGTCCCTCCATCCTCACTCGTTCCTCCCTCACTGAGTTCCCACTGTTCCTGTTTCCATCCACGCACCCTGTGTGGCCACAGGAGCGCGCGCCCCCACGTCGGCACGACGGCCGGGGGAAGTGGCCGAGGCGTGCCGCACTCTCGAGGCCTCGTTCGTGTCCCCCGTCACGCCGCCGGTGCGGCCCTGAGAGGGCGGGATGGTATCGCACCCCAGCAGCTAAGCGGGTTGCAGGTGTGCCATAAGTGGCTTGCGGGCAGATCACTCCGCGAAGTGGGCGGCGCCCACGTGGCGGAGTGATCTGGGTTAGAAGCCAGGTCAGGCCAGACATTAACGACATCAGCATCCATCTATACCCCCCTGTCTCTTTTGCACCCCCACGATGATCTAACCATCCCCCCCTCGCTCCGCCTCGTCGTCATTATATCCCCAAGTTGGGCCCCAATACTCTTGCCTCGCCGACGACGTCACACAAGTCAGGAAATGGGGTCTCAACACCCCCTGTCAGAGGTCGCCCTCCTCCCCTATCCCTCGCGCCCAGACCTCCGACGACTCGCGACCTAGGACCTCTTGATTCTTTCCCTGGGACCAGCTCAGCTTTCCCGAGCCGTTTTCTGATAGCCCCATGCAGTTCCCGAGACTGGCTTCCGGAGGGCGAAAGTCTTGAAAAAAAATGACCTCGATATCTGTAAGGGCTTCGCCCTCTACCGCCGGCACCCTCTCTAGTATTCGAATGGTAGATGTTAGAGCTGTGCTGGGACTTGCCTGCGATGTTTTGAACATTTTTGGGGACATTACGCGAGAACGGCTGTCATTGAACAAGCACCTTGACATGATGGAGTTGGTGTTGAACGCTGTGTCTGCTTTGCAGAACGCAAAACTCGTGTAATCTACGACAGATTCTGGCCTGTGGAATTCGATTCTTGCATAGTCTCCAGGGATTCGGACTCCGCGAGCGCGAATTCGGTGCAATTTAAAAGATTATGTCTTCGGGAGCGCTTCGGGATTCTGGCTAAAGGATTCGGCCTCGGGAGCGAGACTCCGACGTAGTTTACGCGTCAATCTGGTTTCGGGAGCGCGAACCTGGTGTAATTTCTGAGGGATTCTAGGCTCGTGCGCAAGAATCTTGTGCAAATCATATGGGATTCTTGCTTCGGGGACGCGAATCCCATGTAGTTTTACGTGACCCAGGGCCCACAAGAAATTCAGGCAACGCGAGTCGGGCGTGGTGGCCAGGATGGTTCTCGGCTCCCCCGCTCGCGCGGACAGTAACTATTCACAGTAGGAAGCAGTATATAGCACAATATCATTGGCAATGGGGATTTGGCACTCGCCCAGGAAGCTGAAACCTAAGCCGCGCGGCCTGATGGCCCGACAAGGGGGCTGGCAAATTCTCGGGCCCCTGGAGGTCTGGGCACGTAGCCGTATTGGCCTTCGCTGCGCCGCTTGGGCCCGCGCGGCGGCGCGATGCGGACCCCGCGCGACGCTGCTGGCGCCGCCGGAGGTCGCCGTGCCCTCGCCCTGCTCGGCGATTCAAAGACGGGGTGCCGAGAGAGCGGGGCCCCGAGGACGGGTGGACCCCAGACATTGAAGGTCAGCTTGAGCTCAATCGCCTGCCCTCAGAGCCCCATTCGCTCGCGGCCCCGTCTTTGAACCGCCGACCCGCCGCCGTGGCGGCCGCGGCGGCTGCGGTGCGCGGGGCTGCTGCTGGCCGCCGCGCTGGCCCTGAGCGCCCCGCGGCCCTCGTGGCGCGCTGCCGCTGGCTGCCACGCCGGGGCGCCGCCGCGTCCCAAATTAGTCCAGTCTGGGGCAGCGTGAGGGGGGGCATTTTCGGGGAAAAACGCATGATAGCCCCGCCCCCCAGGAATGTGCGGTTGCGCTATCGAGAGCTTGTCGCCGATGATCGCCGATCTGTCGGCATTCGAGAGCTTATCCCCGATAATGTACCTATCGCCAGACATCCACAGGCTCAAGAACATGTGGGAAGAGTGTCTTGTGAGTACGCTGGGCTGTCAGTGGGTGGTTACGAGCTATCCCCCTGACTTCCTGACTTCCTCCCAGCGTACTCAGAAGGTGCTCTTACCGACGAGAGTGTCTTCCGTGTTCGCTGCACTGTTGGCAAAATTTTCTTTTTCATTGTGCGGGGAGTTTGCCGCCAGTCAGCGCAGCGTGCTTCAGGAGGCCAGCCTGGGACCCAGAGGATTGTCAAATGACAAGTGAGGACGAAAAGCTGGTCTCACAGAAACGGTCGAGAGGTTTGGGGCCCCGAGACTCGAACATATCATGTCCTCGGGGGTCTGGGTCGTCGCCGTCGGGGAGGGGGAGGAGTGGGGCGTTTGGAGGTTTTTGGTGGCCACGGCTAGACAGTCGCCCAGGAAGAAGCTGGCCAGGATGGACACCGGGAGGAGTCTTGGGGCCAGTCATGCTCGGACGTTGGTTGAAAGCGGGGGAGGCGATGTGTCGTCGTCGTTGTCGTTCTAGACCTCCAACATTCTTGAAGGAACATCATGACGGTGGTTTGTAGTTGTTCAGCGTCTGAGATTAGTTTCCGGGTTCCAGGGACCATCAGAGAACAATTTGGGGTGTTGTCGTTGAGGATCCAGGTTCGAGCTCGTTTTTTGTTGCGCTTCTGGGCCACGGGTGCCCTCGTTACCTCGGCCAGATTCGCCCCGAGATCTCTGGCTAGATCGCGCCCTGGGAGAGGTCGGGGGGCTCCCCGCAAAAATCGCCCCCCGCTCCTCCTTGGACCTCTCCAGGGGTGCGTTGTGGCCTGTTTTTTTTTTGGGGGGGGGGTCAGCCGCGGCGACGAAGGGGCATCGCGGACGCCCAACTAAGGCGACGAGCGTCCGATAATTTCGAACCAGGAGCCTCGAACCTCCTCTATCCAGACTTGGGAAAGCGGGGACGATTGCGCGGACAGTTCTGCGCAACCTACCCGCGGAAGTTCGCGCGTGAACGTCTTCTGATCCGCGCTTTGATCCGCGCTGGCGACCTGCGCAAACGCCGCGTAAGGCCGCCATTTCCTTCGCGTCAGATCTTATCCTGTCGGCTGCAATTCCTGGGGTAATTATTCAACTCAGTATCGGCGCTGGTACATCCGTGGACAAAATCCGTGGACAAATTCCGTTCAACTCAGTATCGGCGCTGGTACACGCTCGCTTCCCAGCCCTTACGCAATCGTTCTCACGGAGACCCGAGAGTTTCCTCCAAACGGCCTCCTGGCTCATCTGCAGGCGGCGTTGGCGATGACGCCCGCCGCGTCGCCGGCGCTGGCCGGCGCGGGTGGCGGCGGCGAAGGGCGGCGCGCCGACCGATGCTCGCCGACTGCCCGGCAGGCGGTGGGGGGCCTGCTCGAGGCGGCGTTGGGCGGCGACCTGGTAAGCCCAGAGCGGGCGACGGGATCTGTGCAAATCCACCGCAACTGGGCAGGCCCATCCTGGGCCCAGGAGTGGTGTGTATGCCTCCCTGGCCAAGCCAAAGGGGGAGCGCATACACCGCTCCTTGCCTATCCTGGCCAGTGGCAGTGGATCTGTACAGATCACGTCGCCCCACTGGAGGGCGCCGACTGAACATATGCACCCATCGTTTCCGGGTCGATCCTGGGCCCAGGATTCGGAGGGAACGGTAGCGATACCAGTACCATTCCCCTCTTCCTTCGTCTCGCCACGGCTGGTTTCGACTCGAATTCTTGGTCGGAATATACCTTGGACCTTGGGAGAAGTCCGTGAAGAAGCGGTATCTGGTATCTGTATCTTGTTGTTCCCCCAAGGATCAGCACAAGTGCCTTCCGGGCCAGGCCAGGAAGGCATGTGCGGCAGGTGCACGCAGCGCGTTGACGCGGTGGCAATGCCAGTGCGGGCGTTCAAGGCTGCACGCCGCCAGTGGCCAGGAACTGGACGAGGTCCAGTTTCCAGGAACTGGACGAGGTTGCACGTCTTGCGCTGTCGGAAGGCCGCGATCGTTCAAGGTTGAGCGTTCCACGCGGCGTCAGACACCAACTCCGACGTCATCGCGACGCGAACCCTCTTTGCACTACCATGCCTATGGGCCCAGGATCCGTATAACCATCATTGGCCTTCCTGGCCAGGCCAGGAGGGCGTTCGCCGCGTCGATCCTGGGGACAGGGGGGCGCCCTGCCGGTGTCGGTGTGGATGCACCGGTGGCCTTCCCAGGTGAGCTGGAGGCAGGTGGGCGAGGAGCGCATCATGGGCTTCTCGGGCGCGTCTGTCGTCGAGATCTCCTGTGAATGCAGCCGCTGGGAGGCCCCACGCCTGCTCGTGCTGAAGCGCACCGCTGAGCGCCTGGGCCTGCTGCCCAGTGACGCGTCGGAGGAGGACACGCTGAGGGCGAAGCGCACGGACTTCAGCTACGGCAGCGAGCTGGCGTTCCTGAAGGCTTGGCGTGAAGAGAGATCAGGAGGTGCACCCCCTGACTTGGCCTGCCACCCTAACCCACCCGGACCTTGGGCCGTGGTGACATGCGGCCCGCTCTGGCGAGATGAGCGTGATACCTACGTTCTGGCCACACGTTTTCCTCAGAAGGGTCCTCCCGCATCAGCGCTGGTCTCGCCTCCGCGCCGGCCACATCCGATTGGGTATGGTGCTCTCGCCTCAGCGCCGGCCCGTTGGAGTGGCATTGACCCATCAGATAAAATTCGGAAAACTCGGGGCATACGTGCTTGCCGCCTTGAGAGCGCACTGGAACAAGAGGCCCATTCGGGCCAATACAGCAGGGGAAGTACAGTTCCCTTGGAATCCGCCAGCGGGACTGGGCCTGACGGGGCGCGCGGGATTTGATTCCACCATAATTCGTGGTTTGTTCATATTGAGAGGCTTTGACTTATTGGAATTTGCCCACATATTATCAATAGTATTCCAGGACACGAGCACGTCCCGACCCAACCCAGCAGCGAGTCTTTGCTAGGAGTCTAGGGAGGGATGAGGTCGGGGGGGCAGGGACTCATCATCATGGTTCCTGATCACCACCGCGAGTAGCACCATCAAAAGGAAGGTCGCCCATAGCTTGGCCTTGGACGCGATGCAGATGGCCGTGGTTGACAGCGTCAATTAAGCCGTCATGACCCGAATGTCAAGCGCTTGAACTGGCGCCACCTAACGCGCGGCTTGTCTGATCTGCCCCGCGCGACGCCCATTTGAAATTTAGGCGATGCTGCCAACGTCTTGGCATGAGGTCCGCTTTGCTTTCGAAGGGGGCTCGATGTTTCGCAGGTGTTTCTGTGGGTCTTTTCCTGGCGCCCCTGATTCTGACACCCTCCTCCGTGCGCCCATTTTGGCTCAAGATGAAAAGGAGATATTGCTGTCCATCGGCATACTATCTCATCATGGTAGCGTGAGCTGGCCACTCACTGCTGCCGACCCCACCAAGGCCTCGGCGCGCCGCGGCCGCGGGCGCCACGGCGAGCTGGCAGGAGGCTCGAGGCTGGAAGAGGGCGGCATCGACCGCAGCGAGCTCGGCAGCGACCGAGCGACCGGCAGGGGCCGGGAAGAGTGGCCGCAGGCGCGGCAAGAGGAGCGACGCAGCGATTGAGACCAGGCGCAAGGCCCTCCAGTTCAAGCACGACTTGAGGGAGGCAGGCAACAGGCTTCGTGACCTCGCGCACATCGAGGACCATCCTTCGGAGAACTCCTCAGACGTTGTCGAGAGAACGCAGAAGGAAGTCCTAGGCCGGATCACGGACCTCGAGCGTACGAGGCAGGAGATAGCTGAGAGCAGGGAGGAGCTCGCCGAGAGACACGCTGTCAAGCATGGACGAGCAGGTTCGGCAGCAGTTCGAACTGCTGAGGCAGGAGTTCGCGGCTCGAATGAGTCAGACCGCCGACGAGATGAGGAGGCTGGAGAACGAGAATCAGCGGCTTCAGCAACAAGTAGCAGGAGGCCTCGCGGCAATTCCGCAGGCGATAGAACGTATGGGCGAGCAGATCAGAGGCGCGTCGAGCGCGGGAGGAGCCGCTCCAGGTCTCGTCGACACGAAGGGGATTGGCAAGCCCACGACGATGGGCGACGATCAAGAGAAGTTCGGGGCTTGGAATCGCAAGATGGAGAACTACGTGATAGGCGTGTACGGAGAGAGCTTTCGTCCCGTTCTTCGGTGGGCTGCAGAAGCCGAACGCCCCGTGACGATCGAGGGGGCACAGGCGGCGCACGACGGAGTACCAGAGCTGGAGACCAAGGTCAACCAGCTGTACGCGGCGCTGATCAGCACGACGGCGGACGGCAGCGAGAGCAACGACCTCGTGATGGGCGCCCCCGATGGGAACGGTCTCGAAGCCTGGCGGAAGCTCCACCGCAGGTGGGATCCGACGACAGGTCCGAGGAAGAGGCTGATCCTGAGGTCGATCATCTCGCCTCCGAAGTGCAGCGCGGACGAGCTGGGATCAGCCTTAGAGAAGTGGATCCAGCAGATAGGCAGGCACGAACGCCGCCAAGGAGAAGATGGTCTAGCCGAGCTGCCGGAGGATATCAAGATGGCGGCCCTCGAGATGCTCGTGCCTCAGGACATCGAGAACCACCTCGTCCTCAACAAGCATCGGCTCGTCACATTCCAGGACAGTCTGAACGAGGTGATGACTATCGTGGAGGCTCGGACCGGCGTGAAGATCAAGGAGCCATCGATCCGTGCGCGGGCACATCATCCGGACGACATGGACGTAGGGTCATTCGGAGCCCCGAAGGGCAAAGGCAAAGGCAAGGGCAAGGACGGCAAGAGCAAAGGGAAAGGCAAGACTCAGGAGCCGAAGGGGAAGAGCAAATCGACGAACGGATCATACTCAGGCTCCCGCACGTCCCCGACGGGCTCGGGCCGCGGTTCAGGGCGCGCGGCACCTCGAAGCACCAGCGGGCGCTTCGACGGCTACTGTCGGAACTGCGAGAGATGGGGCCACAAGGCTTGTGATGCAACGCGCCCCACACAGAGAGGGTTTATGTTAAAACCCTGGAATTATGAAATAAGTGTGAAATGAACATGGAAAAAATGCGACGGCGCTCAAATGTCAAATTGTACAAAAATTACCGACGCCATTTCAAGAATTACAACAGCAAGTAAGCCTCAGCCCTCGGAACCGCCACCAGCATGTGGGGGTGGGCTTGGCTCCTGCAGCGCGTTCGGCTAGCAATCCATGGGCGAGGGATGCTGTGTCGCGGGGGAGCGCAGATGTTCTGTGGACCCGCAAGCGCAGTAGGGCAGATGCATTCAGTCGAAAAGGGTTGCGTGCCCGCGACGCGAGATCGCAGCGTCGAACGTGCATGGCGAAAACAGAAAATCCGCGACGTGCAGATTACACCTACGTGGAATCGTAGTCCCGCCTGTCTCGAAATAGTGGTTCACGCCTCTACCCCTGCCGCACTTATCATTAAAACCCTGACGCAGCCGCGCTTTTGCATTACTGTTTGCGCGCGGTCGTGCGTCGCGACATGACGACGCGCCGCGTAGAAACCATGCCGCAATTTGTAGCAAGTGGCGCGTCTTATGATGCGGAGTTTGCCAGAGTTCGGCGCGATTTGGAAATGCAGCCGCCAGATGCTTGCGACTGTGGCCAGCAACGTTTCGCGCTGCGCGTTGACAACAAATTGGTCGACGAAACTGGGAAACACGGCTGTTGGGTTGAGCGCGCTGTGTCGACAGCCCAGCCAGGTCGACGGCACGCTGCGCGCGACAACTAGCCCACAAGAACGCCAACGCTAACCCATGCACGTGCCAAGCACACTCGCAGCATGTGGCCGACACAGGACACAACTCAAACATCTTTGTGTGATTAGTAAGGGGCCCACTTCCCGTGGATACCTCCGCAAGGCTTGTGCTGTGCGTCCGCGCAGGATCTGCGTGGCCCAACGCTGGAAGCTCATGGCAAAGGGGGCGCGGTCACCTCCCAGCAACCCCGTGTCTGGCATTGCAAGCTCGCTCAACTCGGCAAAGTGTCCTGCGCGCGCATCCAGCACATCGTGGCGTGTCGGAATACCGCCGAGCGGCGGCCTCCAACACATGACGTACACGCCATGGGGCACTTTTCAACAACAAAGCAATACAAACCACATTTGCGCGCTGCACGTAAGCCTGCATACCCGCGCAAGCTGTGCCGATGCCGACATCGACGAAGCCCATCATGGTCATCGCCGTTTTCCTATGAGCACACAGCCCTATAGTACATTGCCATCGTTGCATTCGTAGAGGGCATGCGCTGCCACTGCAGAGTTGCCGCCCATCCAAGTCGCCTGGGATGCACAGTTGTACCCTCGCGCGTTTCCCATTGGCCGCCGATGCCTCTTGGAGGTTCCATGCGCGGGGTCTCGAGCAACCCCCGCGCACTCTGGGGGCATCGCTGAGCATCTAGAGCTGCAGCCGACGGCCTGGAGACTCTGCGCGCCGTCTTGTGCAACCTTTGTACACGCATTATCTGCCCCTTCTGGGGCAATGCCATGCGTACTATTTCGACCATCGTGGCGCCCTCGCGGCCGCCCTGAGGCTTTTTTTTCACGCCCTATACAATTTCGTTTGGACATTTGTGCATCGCAAACTTTCCCAGATTACGCAGATCAGCTTAAGCCTTCGCCGACAAGGACCAGCGCGCGCCTCGAGCATAAAAACGGTCTGGCTCTGCGCGGGCCTTGCCTTCGAATTGAAAAACTCTTGGTGCGCGGTGTGGGGCGTGGGTTACTTGTAATGCAAGTGGGGTAGCGGTCATAAGGAGAGAAGGGCGAGGTGGTGGTGGTGGTGACCTGGCGTGCGCGCGAGCGCGGTGATGGTGGGGTGGTGGGTTGGGGGGGGGTGGTAGGTGGGGGGCGGGGGGCGGCGGGGGCGGGTGCGTAGGGGGGCGGAGGGGGGCCTGGGTGGGATAATTTGCACGGCGCGTCCATAACCTCAGCGCGTAACCAGACATCGGGGCACGGGGAAGGTGCAGGGGCGGGGGAGGGGAGGGTCAGGTTTGCCCCAGGGCTCCAACATTATATGCACAGTAGATACGTAGGACACGTGCAGTTAGTAGAAGCAGGCAAGACCATTGAGCATGTCACGCGCCCCCTGCTGCTGCCGTGCTGCTGCCTGCGGGCTCCTCCCTTTCCTTCCTTCTCTCTCCTCGCTCCTCGCTGGTTCCTCGCTTCGCGTGGTGCTGTGCTGGCTTGCCGCTCGCTGGCTTTCGCTCCTTCCCTCGTGCGTTGCGGGGGGCCGCGGTTGGCAGGTGCCAGTTATGAAACCTACCGATTGGGTGGGCTGAATGCCCACATTCTCGGCTGTAGGCCGTTCCGAGGGTGACGCCATATCAGTTCCGATGGATTCGACCCCCGAAGTGTTTGTTGTAGTAGTAGCCGTCGTCAGCTGTAGCCCCGCATCCCCCCCCCATGCAGCCCCCAGAATGCAGCTCGAGCTCACGAGGGCTTCAAAACTGCGGCAATATTCGTCCAAACAGGCGGCGTTCGGGGCATTTGTTCGCCCCCGTGGGATTTTCGCACGCGGTGTCACCTGCGCCCTTACCCCCGCGTCGCCCGTAACCATTTGGGGTCGAACCGGGCTTCGCGCCACTGGCCTTTCGGCCCTTATCAGTTTCGATTCTTCCATATGCGCTTTGACGCCTCTACATATTGCACTTCGGTGCCTCCATGTTTCAGTACGTCCATGCGTTTTCTCGTCTTGTGGGTTGAGATAGCTGCCGTGGCAGCGCTGCGCGTGGATTGCCAATCCTTCTTTGTGGGTCAGTACTGTGAGAGTGCTTCGTGGATGAGGAAAACATGGGGCCACGACAACCATGATGCAGCGGGCTCCGACTTGGACGCTCGACGACTTTCGTGGGCCAGCGCAGGAGCAGCAGCTACACATCACCAACGCGCGTCATGGGCTTCCTCGGAGATGTCCAAGGCGCGACGGTCTTGGGGCAGTCGAGCAGCGGTCGACGATGATGACCCGAATGAGATCGACAGCGATGCAGCGTTTTCTGGAGTACCTGGCGATGCAGACCTCCTTGAAGGAGGCCTGTTCGAAGTTAATGGTGTTATTGGGCATCGAACGCCAGAGCCAGAGTCCGATGGAGAACTCGACGTCAGCACAGGTGCAAATGGTGCGATCCCCGAAGGTGGCGGCCAACTTGTCCTTGCAGACGGGGATCTCGGTGGCAGTGGAGCCGCTCTCCTCCCTGCAGCGCCAGTCGATTATCTGACGCATCAGGTCGGCCTCGGAGTTCTTGCGGCTAGCACTTCAAACAATGTGGTTGGAACAGTTCTGCGTCAGGCAGATCAGATGTTCTATGGGGAACCATTTGTTATGAGTTCAGCGGCGATGGCCAGCAAGATGGGCACGCATAGAGGTATCCCGTCTCTTCGTCGCATACAGCTCGCTGCCGCTGGGCTCGCCATGCAGAAGTACATGCACAAGGAGCTGATGGAGAGGATGGTAGCAGCTGTGGTCAAAGATGGAGGCCAACCCTTGATGCTCGTGAAACAAGTTCGGTACGACGAGACCCCGATGAAGATCAACGTGAAAGACAACAACACGTCATCTTCTTCTGCAGTCTTGGTTGACAAGCGTGCGTCTAAGCTTGAGATTCCCAAGTTCATTGTGGAGTTTTTGAAGATGGAGTCGTACGATGCGGTGCCTGCAAAGTTGCTCCAGTCCGAGTGGCGAATCTCTGCGTTGTTCAAGTTGGGATCTGGAGAGTACGTGCTGGTCAGTTTCGACGTTTTCGCTCCAGTGCAGGCCTTGGCTTCGACAGCGGCGGAGGACTACGTGGAGGCCCTCAAACGAACGGAGCCAACTCTGGGCCCATGCGAGGATATGTTTTTGAAGAAAATTCGTTTATCTTGCACTGATGGAGATTCTGCCGTCAGGAAGGCTGAAGAGTGCATTGCTATCTTTAATGGGTACCCTTCGCTCCACACCACATGCCATACGCATAGGTGGGCAAATGCACATAAGAACGTCGGTAAACTACTCGAGGCCGATATCTCTGCCATCGTCAACTGGAGTCTTGCTCTTAACCAGCCTGGGGCGATGAGAATATTTCGGCAGGTCCTCCGAGACACCATTGACGAGCGACTCCGCATTATTAATGGTACCCCTCCTTCTTGGAATAGTGTGCACCGACGCGCAGTTCTTCAGTGTTTCTGTCGCGGCAAGCGCAACGTCGGGCGCAGGGCAGTCATATCTTTCCTTGCAAATGGCAACTGGGAGAATACTGAGACCGTCGAACACTGGACCATGAGCTCGCCGAGGGAGGAGAAGGCAGTGCGACATTGGTTTCTTTCATACTTCGTGAAAGCTGTATGCGGGGCTTCACCCAAAATATTTCCGAGATCCAGGTGGACGGGCTCTGACTTGACTCTCGATGCACTTGGTCTCTTGGATGGCATTCATGGTCTGGGGACGGTCGCTTTCACGAAATTTGTGGTCATCTTGAACAAAGGTGCTGTGCCAAAGTCCTTGCTGCCCGTGCCTGGCCGAGCCGCGGTCGAACTCCCACCCCTCTTGGACACCCACCCTGTCGCAGGCGGCGTCGGTCCAGAAGGTCCGCCAGCTGATGGAGGCGATGGGCTTCAGGAAGGCGCGACTGATGCTGCTAAGAACTACGAAAAGGAGAACAACCATCAGAGGGAGACCGCTGCGAGATGGATGCTGTACGAATCGCCTCATGCTTTGGTCGTCGCGCTGCGGGTCACGATGGAGCCGCTTCGAGTATTGATGAAGGAGCTGTTGACGGTGTCGGGGTCCGCGTGGGAGCGCGTGCAACAAGAGAAGCATTTCGACGAATCCCAGTCGGTTGGCTTCGGGGACCTTCGCCAGCGAGACTACCGCATGCTCCTTGCAGCTCATAATAAGCACGAGGGTTGCTGCATCCAATCACTTTCGAATTTGTTCTTCGCCGATGCGGAGTGGGAAGCCGTCCCAGCTGGATATCGGCGAGCAGACGTTCAACATCTTTGTTTCACGCTTGTTTCACGTGCCGCTGCAGAGGTGCAGCACTACCTGATTGACCACCACCGTGGCTACCCGTACAAGATGGGCAGGCTGTTCGATGACCTGTCTTTGGCCGATGAGGTCCGAGGGATTGCGGAACTGCTGTAGCCTGTAGCACACAAACAACGGAGGGGCGGGGGAGAGAGGAGGGGAGTTGGGGGACGAGGGAAGGGAGGGGGAGGGGAGAGGCGGGAGGAGAAGGCAGCAAGTTGACTCACAATTGTACGGGTGTGAATGTTTGTATATCGCGTTGTGTTCGCAATTCGTACGTACCCCTCCCCCTCCATGGCCCCCGCAACCTCCTCCTCTTCCTTCTCCTCCACCTCAACATTCCCCCTCCTCCCCATCCGTCACAAATCATGTTTTTTGCTTCTGACGCTAGACAGGTTCGATCCGACTGCAGCGGGATGAAGGATTCCTGGAGTGCAGATTTCTTGGAAAGGTATGGCGACAACCTTACTTCGCATGACGCGTCAGTTGAGTTTTTGTGCGTTATGTTCCTTGCGCTGTGTGATCAAGCGCCTATTGAAGCTACTCACGCCTCGCTTCGCCGCTGGCTGCATGGCTTATCCGTGCAGACGCACACTCCACGACATGAATTGATCAGCGCATGCCGCCTGATCCAGGGATTCCGGAGGCGCTTGAAGGTCACTCGACCTGGCGGCCAGCGCAAGCAACCAGTTCAGCATCCTCCCGACAGTGACCTTGGACCACCACCACCGAAGGCTAAGGTGCGCAGGACTGGCGTTGGCGGTGTTCAGAGGGCATTCTTCAGCGAGCAGCTCTCTGCTGGACACACCATGGAGGAAGCGCATGCTGAGCTTAGGCGCGTTCGAGTTGAGGACCCTGAGAGGCTTGCAAAACTCAAGGAGAAGGGGAACGACGCCACCGCTCGGCGTCGCCTCCACGGCGTGTCCAACCCGTTTGGGCGCAGAAAGAGAGAGAGGCAGCGCGCTATGGGGCGAGAGGCTGCTCGAGCTAGAGTGGCAGCCATCCTCGACAGCAACGCTGACGCAAGCAACAGCGGACAACTTGTGCGTTGTGCTGCAGGGTCTGAGCTGGTAGCATCTTCGTGGGCTGAAGTCAAAGATGTGCTGTCGACTATCAGAGATGCCGCAAAGAGTGAGAGGTCAGCGAACAAGGCACGCACCAAACGGTTGGAGGAATACATGTTCAGCCAGCGTGATGTCGTTGCCTCGCGGATCCCTGGCTTCGCAGACATGGGCGTGCCCGTGGACGACGTGCTGCCAACGCCAGCTCTCTCAGAAATTTTCACGCATTGGGATTTTAGTTCTATTGACTTGCTCGAGAAGGCGAAGCGTCTCGTGGCACTCAGCCCCCACTCGAAAATTGGCAGGGGCGTCAACGAGGTCATCTTGCGCGACTGGGCTTCGATCCACGAAGTGGTGCAACGTGGTGCTGACGAGGAACCTCTCCCAGATCGAAACAAAAAACCTCCATGCTGTATTTATGGTGTGTGCCTCTGTCGCGGTGATGGCTTGGATTCGTGGAACATGAGGGAAAATTATCGCAAGAATGCTTGGAGGATGGAGTTCAGTCCAGCATTGCATCCTATCGCCCGACAACTGGTTATGGACGCTAAAGTATTCGCTGTTTTCGTTGCCACGCCGTTGATCGATGACCCAATGGATTGTGAGCCGAAGGTTGTGCGGCATTGGTGGTGCCACATTGCGAAACAGCAGCTCTCGCCCCACAAAGCCATGTTTCATATTATGGACGGGCCATGCTTGGATTTTGATGCTGAAGGCGTGGTTGCGCCTGGTCAGGAACTTACATTGCGAGCTCAGGCGGAGTTCCAGAACGACGTCCAGGCGATGTCCAGGGTGGACCGCTCTTTCAAATGGCAAGTATCGTATTTCATGTTGAAACCCGACATGCGCCCAGTTGTCTCTGTCACACCCAATTGCGTGACAGTGGTGGCCATGGACGGTGCACTTCTGCGGACAATTTGGCCACCGCGGAAGGGCGACGGTTCCAAGAGAGCCTCGTGGGGGAACGGCCACGACGAAGGCTCGGAGCCCTCTGAGGAAGACGAGCCTGGTCCTGTGCCAGCCGCTGCCCCCGAGTCAGACCACGAGCCCGAGTCCGACCACGACCACGGCGGCGCGCCGCCGTTGGCGGAAAGCACGTCCAGCAGCCCCACCAGCGACGACGGGGATCCTGAGGAGTTGGCGCTGGGGGGCGGCGGCGAACCGCCGCCGCCGCCACCAGCGCCGCCGCCGCCACCGTCGCCGCCACCGCTGCAGGATCCCCCGCAGGATGGCCCCCCGCAGGATGACCAGCATGGCGGCGGCGGAGGAGGCCCTGGCGACCCTGATGGTTTAGGCCTTGATAGGGGCCCTGCTGGATCTCGCAACATGGACAATCCAACTGTGTACGTACCTGGAGGTTCCATTGTCTATTATGCTTCATCAGAAGACTTCTATGGTTATTGCAACAACAGAGAAGATCACGGCAGATGCCAGGTCACGCGGACTGCGAGACCAGGGAGAAGACGTGCCCAGGGCAGACCTCTGGGTTTCATTGCAGCATGGCTCGCAAAGTGTCGATGCCCAGATTTCCCGACAAGGGACCTTCACAAGCATGCTTGCGTTCCCACCTTACAGGAGCGCGCAGAGGCGCGCCGCGCGTTAGAACTGCTGCCAGGGGTGCAGGCCCTCTTAGAGAAAGAGCGGCCAAGGCGTGACGGCGAGGGCCCAGAGCCTGAGTAGAGCACTGAGAGCCATCATCGCCATCCTCACCACCATCATCATCATCATCATCATCATTGTATCGCCACGTCCACTCCCTTCTTACTATTTCTCCCCAGTGTTTCGACGTCTCCCCATCCTTATCCAAATCCTCACACATGCCCCCCCCTGCTCGCCCTCCTTCTTGGGTCCCCATCTTCTCTTTAATATATATCTCTCTCTCTCTCACTCCCCCTCAACTCTCGGCGGCAATTGGAGGGAGGGAGTCGGGCCCTCCAGATGCTTGTGCCAGCTCGCGCCATCGTTCCAACTGAGCGGTCGCGGTGGTCTGCGCGCGACGGAACGCAGAAGTGCCACCCTCAATCCTCAAATTATGTTCCGTACCCCTGCCCCCTCAATCTTCCAATTATATTCTGGGCCCCGAGGGGCCTCCAAGAGTCATTACGCCCGAAGAGGCCACCAGAAGGCCCCAGGAGGCCTCCAGGAAGCCCCAAGCGGCACCCCAAGAGGCCCCCACGAGGCCCCCAAGAGGCACCCAGACAGTCGCCAAGATGCATCAACGCTGCCTCCAATCGGCACCCAAGAGGCCTCTCACGCTATCCCAACGATCAGCATCATCACCATCATCACCACCATCACCACCATCACCACCATCATCACCATCACCACCATCACCATCACCATCACCATCACCATCACCATCACCATCATCGTCGCCATCATCATCATCATCCAACCTCCAGTTCATGCTTCTTGCCGATGTGGCTGGCCATAGCTGTTTGGCTGTGAGTGTGCTTGTGGTTCGGTTTCTTGGCAACGCGATGGTTCGTGGCATCGTCCAGAGCGTGCCCATTGGCAACCCTCGGTGCGTGAGGAAGCGGTTCCGCCGTCTCATCAAGCTGCTGTTGATCGAGCGTGCAACGTCCAAAGCCCTCCGCATGCGGGTGAAAACGCTCAGGACAGCGGTCACGAACTTCCGCCACCTCGCTGACAACGCGCTCTCGGATGACAAGGTCAGGGAGGAGCGTGCCTACCGTGAGATCGGTGCCATGGAGGAGCAGGACGATGATGACATTCCATTGGATGATGATTGAGATGTGTGCGGCAACCATTCAGGTCATTGATATATGGCAAAAGTGGCGCAATGGACCTCTGTTTGAGAGTTCCGCGGTAACCATTCAGATCACTGATAGATGTCAATATTTGCGCCACATTTTCTGGTTGAGAGTCTCCTGCCTGCTGTAGGTGTGCGGGGCAGCATGCAAGTTGGACCAGAGTTTCGCGTTGCACCGTTCGTGTCCGATGGCCGCGTTGACCAAAAGAGCGGGCCCTCATTCCAGACCCCGCGTCTGGGATCCCGCCTCTGATTATTTTATTCTGGGCACCGAGGGGCCTCCAAGAGTCACTGCGCCCGAAGAGGCAACCAGAAGGCCCCAAGAGGCCTCCAAGAAGCCCCAAGAGGCACCCCAAAAGGCCCCCCAAGAGGCCCTCAAGAGGCACCCAGGCGGCCGCCAAGAGGCATCAACACTGCCTCCAACAGGCACCCAAGAGGCCCCCCACGCAATCCCAGCGATCAGCATCACCACCATCATCACCATCATCACCACCATCACCACCATCACCACCATCATCACCATCACCACCACCACCATCACCATCACCATCACCATCACCATCACCATCACCATCATCGCCGTCGTCGTCGTCATCATCATCGCTTCCATGTTGCTCATCCCTCGCGAGTGCGGGCCCCCCGTGCCCCCTCGAGCGAACGCCGCCGAGCATGCTGGACTGGCACGGTGTCGGGACCTGCCGCAGGCAGCTGGATAAGATGAGGCCAGCACAACGCCTGTGAACACTGCAACAGCCTGCTAACAGCGAGGCGCGTGTGCGAGCACCGCGCTGAACACGCGAACGCCAATATCACATGTATGTACAACGCTATGTCAAACCTGGCCAATACCACAATGGCCACCCATCAGCGCCACCATGTGCCTGCGGGCACCGCGACAAATCTGCGACCACCACAACGTGCGCGCGAGCACTAAAACGCGCCTGAGAACAAGAACAGCAACATACGCATACGCATGCACTACAGTATGCTGGACCGTGACAGTTCCCAAGTGTCTGCGGGATCGACGCCATGCCTGTGGGAACCAAAATAGTCTGCAAACGCCACAAGCAAGGACCCTACGAACGCAACCGCGCGCCTGCGAACACCAGCAGCAACACGCGTCTTTACAGCGGTGCGTCGGGCCATGCTTGCCAGTAGCACAATGCTGCCTGCGAGCGTCACCCACATAGGCCCCAGGAGGATGGCCACGAATCTTGGCAATGCATTGCCAAAGCGTTCATCCGCCGCACCAGGATAAGCATTGCCAAGGCGCCTTGCTGCGGCGCGGGGGAAACTATTGCAGCGGCGTTCATCCGTAACGCTAGCGTCTGCATTGTCATAAGCTCGCTTCCGTAGCGCTGGCGGAAGTATTGTCGCCGCGTTCTGCCGTGGCGCTTGGCTGAACATTGCCGAAGCGTCCCCCCGTTGCGTTAGAATGGCAATTTCAAGGGTGATATTCCGTAGCGCGAGAACGGGCATTGCCAGAGGTTTCTTCCGTGGCGTTAGAACAAGCAACGCCAGGGTGTTCGCCCGCTGCGCTAGAACAAGCACTGCCAAGGCGCCCCGTGGCAGCGCCAACAAAAGTATAGCCATAGCGCCCTTCTGTAGCGTTCGAGCAAGCACTGCCAACGCTGTCCCCCATTGCGCTCCAATAAGTATAACCGACGCGTTTTTCCGCGGCGCTAGAACATGCATGTGCGCAGCGTTCCTCCGAAACGTTTCGACGCGCATTGCCGCGTCGCTCGCCCGCAACGTTGGCGCAAGCATTGCCAATGCATTTCTCGCTGCGCTCAAATAAGGATTGTCAGCGCGGTGATCCGCGTTCTTCAAAGAACACTGCTTGCGCATTCTTCCGTGGCGCTACACTGCGCAATGCCAGGGCTTCCTCTCGCTGCGCTTGGACACGCACTGCGCGAGCGCCTTTCCCGCCTGGCTAGATTGCATGTTGCCGAAGAACTCGCCCGTTGCGCAAGAGTAGACACAGCCGAAGTTGACTTCCGTAGTAGCGTCAAGGCAAGGATTGCAAGCGCGCCCATCTGTTGCGCCATAGCAGAAATTGCCAAAGCGCCCCGCCCCTTCTTCCCCCGCGGCGCTGGACTAAATGTTAGCACAGCGTTCTTCCCGATCACCAAACCAAGATGGATCGTGCGTTCTTCAGCAGCGCTGGCGCAAACATCTTGAAGGGCTCCTCCCGCGTCGCAGGAACTACGTTTCCACTGCGTTCTGCCGTGGCTCTAGAAATCGCATCACCTGGAGGTTCTGCCGTCGCGCCATGGCAATCATTGCCAGCGCGTTCTTCCGCTGCGCCAGAAGAAATGCCGCAAGTGCGCCCATCGGCAGTGCGGGGGTGCATATTTCCGATGCGCTTAACTGTAGCACTAGCAGAAGAATGGCCAGATCGTTCTGGCGTAGCGCTATAACAAATAATGCCGCGGCGTTCTTCCGCGGCGCTAGGGCGAGCATTCCCGACGCGATCTTTCATGGCGCTGTAGCGGGCATATCCGAAGTGATCCCCCGCGGCGCGAGAATGATCATTGCAGGGGCGTTCTTCCAGCACGTGAAGTTTATATAGCATCCTTTCGGCGCTTTGGAATGAGCACCCCCTGGCTTTCCCGCGTATCATTGGGGGGAGGGGGTCGTTGCCCGAGCGATCTTCAGCGGCGCTCGACTAAGCATTGCCAGCGCGTTCATCCGCAGCGCTAGAATGAGCCCCCCCTCCCGAAGCGTTCTCCCGCGCTCTAGACAACAACTGGCACGGGCTGTCGTCCGCAGCGCTGGGGCAGGCGTTGCCAGAGCGGCTTTCAGTTGCGCCAGGACATGTCTCTCGAGAGCGTTCCTCCGCATCGGCAAAAGAAATATCGGAGAAACGCTCCTCTGTAGCGCTGGACTAAGCACTGGCAAACCGTTCCTCCGTAGCGCAAGGGTGCATATTATCGGTGCGTTCTTCCGTAGCGCTACGATGCATGTCGCCAACGAGTTCCTAGTTTGCGCTGGGGCAAGCATGGGCAACTTGTTCGCCAATCGCGCTGCCATAAGTATTGACAGCGCGGTTGTTCGCAGCACTACAGGAGGAAAACCAGCCCAAAGCGCTCCCCCGCAGCGCTAGAACCAGCATTGCCAACGCGTTCTGCCGCACCGCCAGGACGAGCATTACCAATGCGCCCTTCCGTGGCGCTAGAAGAAGTATGGCCAAGGATTTCCACGGCACGGGCTAGACTGACCATTGCCAAGCTTGCATTGCCGCGCGCGGGGCTGGATATTACCCGCGCGTTCCGCCATAGCGCTAGAACGGCTGTCGACAAAGCGTTCTTCTGCGGCGCTAGAGTGGGCGTTGGCAAAACGTTCTTCCGCAGTGCTAGCACATGCATTGCCATGGCGCTCTTCCGTAGAGCTAGATGACACGTGTTGCCGCAGCGTTCTTCAGTGGCGCTCGCATGCACATTGCTAACGCGTTGCCCCGTAGGGCTAGAAGAAGTAGTGCCAAAGAGCTCTTCCGTTGCGCTCTGGCAATCATTGCCGCCGCGCTCCCCCGTAGCAGTGCGGCAGGCACCCCCGAGGCCCGAGAAATTCTTCCAATGCGCTAGGGCAAGTATCGCCAGGGTGTCGCTGCGTAGCGCGAGAATAAAGATTGCCAATGCGTTCTTCCGCAACGCTGGCATATGCATTGCCGCATATTGTTCCGCAGCGCTGCGAATAGCATTGCCGAGGCCACGGGCGAACGCATCTGCAATCATTTTTCTAACGCGACGGGAAAGCGCTCTGGCAATGCCTAGGCTGCGGAAGAACGCAATGGCAATGCTTCCCCTAACGCCGCGGGGGAACTCCTTGGCGATTCTTGTCTCTGGCGATGCGGGGGAACGCCGTGGCGACATTTATGTTGGCGCTGCGGGGGGGGGGGCAGCCTGTGCAATGCTGATTCTAGCGTTTCGGAGGGAAGTTCTGGCAGTGCTCATTCTAGCGCAACGGGAACACGTTTCGGCAATGTTGTTGAGAACGTCATTGCAATGCTGGTTCTAGCAGCTTCTAGCACTGCGGCGGCACGCTCCAGCAACGCTTGTCCTCGCGCGAAGGAAGGGCGCCCTGTTGACGTTTACTCTACCGTTTCGGAAGATGGCGTGATCAGTATATGTTTTCGCGATAAGCGAGAACGGTTGGGCAATACTTCTTGAACTCTACGGAGGAAGCTTCGGCAATTTTTCAGCTAGCGCCACGGGTGAATGCCCTGGTGGTGCTTGTCCAGGCGTTGGGGAGCGCCTTGGCGATGCCTCTTTTTTGCGCGACAGCTTCGGCCAAACTGAGTCTAGCGTAACGGAAGAAAGTTGTGCACATGCATGATTCGTTTTAACAGCACCACTGGGCTTGCTACCATTCCTTTTGCTACGACCAGTACTTCTAGTAACGCGAATATCGTTATTATTATGTCCAGTACTAATATGGTCTATTTTGTTTCACAGTATCCAGCAACTTACGTTTTGTATACCCTCTGTTTTTCGACTAGTTTGCACATTACATATAACTTCTCGGTCTTCAATCTGATGTGGTATCTTAACTCACGTCCCAACTGTGCCACGAGTTTCCCCAGTCGGCGTCGCCCGCGCCGCAACATGTGCACGGTGGGCTCGGGCCACAGGAATCCAAAGCCAATCGGACGCGGGAAGGGGATGTAGCCTCGTAATCCCGAACGTATTCGATTCCCGGAGGCAAATTAGGGTTACATTTTTTTCATATTTTTAACCGTACCTTTAGCGCAATTTTATCGCAAATTGTACAATTATTGTGGGAAAATTGTAAAACAATTGTACGATCAATTGTACGTCAGTTTTTGGACTCCACTGCTCAGGAGGTCAGATTGTACAAAAATTGTACGAGCGATTTTCCAGGTGCGTCGTCGATGCAGATGCCGTTGTTCTTCGCGCATGCAAATGAATCAGAAAGCACGTGTGTCTC